ACACAATTATAATATAAAACTATTCTACGTAACTTCTCCAGAATGCAATTGTTCAACAATTGTTGAGGGATAATTTGGCCGACTTGAGTGAAGCGAACACGTGGCACATCCAAACCCTCTGAGAGCATGTCAGCACTAGGTGCTACATGTGAACTGACCTGTGGAGGCCGATGGAACTATAAGTAAGGCCAAGAACACCTCATCGAAAAGAAGGTCGACGACTGACCTCCATTGTCCTCCGCCAACTTGGGTGACCAGAGACCCAAGCAGTCAGCCAACCTCCGGGGTTCCAACCTGCATGGTAAATTAGCCTTATTTGGAATAACGTGCCAGTCGATTCCGAGTTGGGCGGTAGAACAATCCCCATTCAATGCAGATGACCCCGTCCTCCGTATAACTCGAAGAGGTTGGATAACGTCTGCCCCCAACGTGGAAGGTATACACCCCAAAGATAATGGGCAGATAAGGCCTAACGTCCTCAGATTTTTTGGATGCGGGATTGGGACCTCGACGCTTATATAAAGGAGTTGAGCCTCCCTTACCATGGTACACACGATTTAGTGCAACTAAACTCTCAGTTACTTGTTCTTTGCTCTCAACTAGCTTGGCTAATTTAATCATCAGAGTGTTGATCTCAGGTCTAAACCCTTGGACACTCTGATCTTCTATTCTTATAAATCGATATGCTGATCTCAGCATCATTCATCCAAGCTGTCTTCCAACAGGGAAATAGGCAAATTTGCACATCATCAACAACTATGACTCTAGCATTACAACTCACCTCTGATGCATAAATCGTACCAAATGGGCTCTCAATACTTTTCTAGAAGAAAGATAAACAAGGAGGCATAGCCTTGTCATCCACTAAAAAAAATTGAAAAGTATTAATAGGGGCAAAAGTTTTTTCGTTGTCAATTGGCATCCCTCACTTTAACAATGCACGGATCCAATTCTAGTAGATAGATTTTTCCTCCTAACGGAGGTAGTATTATGTAGGGTGTAACTTGGGTAGGCTGCGTTGGCAAGTTGAATTTCAACCCAGGCCCAACCCCAATATGGTCCTAGTCCAAATTGAGTCCAAAGCCATCTCGATCTGGCCGATGCAAGGGCAGTCTAAACTGAAATTTGACACATATGCATTCATGTGCACATGCGTGTACGTATGTATAATATGTATAGTTGGGCGATTGAGTTAGTCCAGCTTAGGTTGGATCCAACTAAATTGCACCTTTAGTGTTATTTGTTTTCTTTATCATTATTTGATCGAATGATTAAGAGGAAAGACTTGGGTCGCAATTAATCCAACTCAACAACTCAATTGTTTTCATAAATGACCGTATCTTTTCTTCTATTTTCTTTATTCTTCTTTAAAATGGTAAATGAACTCCGAAAATTGAGGGAAATATGCAATTTTGTTAGTATTTTCCTCGATTTTAAGGTGTAAATGCACATCAAGAAAAAGGAAGCAAACTTGTTTGAGCTTTCCATCAATGGGAAGAGAAGACTGATTTCCTCTCTTCATCGCATCTTCTCATTAAGGAACACCACAACAACAGTTACTTCTCACCAATGGCTACCTATCATCTCCTCGGCTTCTGATGATGGAAACGGAAAACTTGAACTGTTATTTTGAGCTCCAACGGCTACCTAACATCTCAGGTATGTATATCTGTCCTCCCATGGAGATTCACGGCGATGGCAAGACCAAAGACCTCCGAACATCACCGTATTTCACAGTATTTAGAGTATTTGGTCTTGCATTGTTCACCGGTGGTTGTTATTGCATTGTTTTTGCCGTATTTCACAGTATTTGGGGTTTTTTCTACTTTCCCCTTGGTTCCCGCATGTATTTGGGAAAAAAATTCTAAGATTACAGATCTGAATATATGTTTAATGATAATAATGTTTTTGTATTTTTTGTGTTTTGGAGGCAACAGGGCTCTCGATAGAGGCCAGATATCACTTGCTCTCACTCGTTCTTCTAACCATTTATTCTTGATACTCTGAAGGTACATAGCCTCCGACCGTTGCATGTTCTCTGCATGCCGGTTTCACCTGTTCTTCTTCTATCATCTGATTTAAAAGTCAAAAGAAACATAGCCTGATTTTGGTACAAGGTGTAATGAACCTTCACATATCCTAGCCAAGACGGTTGGTTTATCAGAATCCAAATATACAACTGTTGGGACTTCAACAGCCCAATATAGGGGGAAACAGTTAAAAAAAAAAAGGCAAGGCATGATGGTGGGACCCATTCTCTAGGTTTGCAACTTTAAAAACTCCTCAACACCAGAAATTTTGTGTTCTTAGTTTACTTTCTTCCAGCCAAACAACCATAAGTGCAAATAACCATAAAAAAAAGGTAGAGTTGATACTAACATTTGTATGAATAAGGTGTCTTAGAACCCAAAGAGAGATTTTATGGATATTACGGTGATGGTTTGATGATGGAAAGGAGTTGCTTCATATTTTTTGAGTTTTTTTTTTTTAATATTTTCAAACAGCCCATTCATAACATTTTGTCATTGTTTTGGGCTTCGGCCCAGGGCAGCATCCAAGAAACTTATGTTTAAGCCTATTTGTTTGGAATCCTGCCCGAGTAACAAATTATTTTTGCCCGTTGCCCGTCATATAGGTCGGCCATCCCATAGCTGAGAAAACTGTTACAAGTTACAACCCAACCATTTAAAAATAGTCAATTTGGGTGAGGGGTGCAAATTGGGTTGGCCCAAAGCCCGCCCAAGTTGCACACCTAAGTTTTGGGCCATGTTTTTTACCCAATAAGAATAGGTTGAGTTTGGGCATGGGCCTGCTGACACGAACTAGAATAACAGTTCGGTCCATGCATGGACTTGGCCGGACTATCATATAATTTACTTAAAAGCCAGATGGGCCAGTGCCCAGCGGAATGCATTTGCCCAGTTTTATTTTTGTTAGGGAAGCCCAATATGCTGACCGACACTAAAATTTGCCACGAGCTCTTTCTATCAATACAAGGACAGAATTGCAAGTGAACAGGGCCAAATCAAAGCAAGAAGAAATTGGATTCCGGATAAAAAGAAAATCATAACAAAATAGCCATTTCGTGCCAGTCTTTCATTTTCTATTTTGTTTATTGCAACAAAATGTATATAAGGTTCCGTTGTTGTATGTTTTTAGTATTGTATATTCGTATTTGTATTCTTTTCAATCTGAGTCTAAAAAGCACTTTGTTTCAATTTTAAGTTTGTTCTTGAAGAAAACCCGTCTTCATAGCATTAAGAGTCATTGTGCCAAGAAATTTCCGTCAAAATTATATCTATTCCTAAAAATCCTCAGAATTGAGAAGCCACCGAAATTTTGAAGAAATCATTGGTAAATTTGCTTCTTATAGAATATAGAATCAAAATCTAGGAATGTTCGCCTTTGTGATTAATCCTAATAAATTCCATGGTTTGATTTATTGTCTATTAACTTTTATGAAGACATTTTATTATTACTTAGATGGTGTTTGAATTTATGGCCGTTTATGAAAAGTAGTGTCAGGTCATTGACATATAAGTGTTGGGAAAATATCATTATTTGATAAGACCATTTATTAAATAAATGTTTTCTTGGTTTGTGTGAGAGTCAACTGTTAGGAAAAACACTATTTTTAATATTTTTCCTAACACCTAACCATTTGTTTACTGTTGAGTTTATGTGATGCTTTGAAGAAAATTCCATTTTTAATATTTTTCCCAACACTCAATCATTTATTTACTGTTGAATTTATGTGGTGCTCAATGGTGTCTAATGACATCTACCTGTCAAAGAACACTAAATACAAAAAATACAAAAGGTTTATCACCCACTTTCTCATTTTTTAAGATACAAAAGTATAAAACGTTTAAATAAACATCCACAGTACCAAACAGCCCCGTCTTGAATGGAGTCGACACTCTGCAAAACCTCAATTTATCAAAAGGAAATAGAATGTCTGGAATGATGGTAGATTTAGTTAACGTCTACCTAATTCCAGTCCAATAAATTTTATCTTTATTTTTTCCATGAAAATGACATCCTGTCGTTGACTACTTTAAGGAAAAGAATCCATCTTCCATTCCAATGGCCTTCAGATATTGAAGGCATCTAATAGCATATGGTTTATGGATTTTTTGCTGGGTGATTGTTCACCAATCAGAGGAACAGTCATAAGATGTAATTGGATTGGAATGCATTAAGATCAAGAATAAAACATGACAATATAACACATTACCATAGTATCATCATGGTCTTCACAGAGAAGAATGAACCATTTCTCTCCTCCCTTCCAATTGTTTTAAACCATGTTTTGGAGACTACTATCGGTTCAGGCTTCCATTAGGAAACCTACAATGAAGGAGTTTCTGCCATGGGGAGGGCTGCTTTGGCAAATCCCAGACTGTTTGATAGAAGATCCTCTGGATTATCCATATTTCCACCTTTGAAACGTGAGAGCTCCCAAGTCCCAACCGATCACCACTCTTGGTAGCAGCAAATTATAATGACAATGTATGTGACAATATTATTTTTTTTGAAATGTGGCAGATGGTTATTGGGCAGAGAATTTTGTGCCAGTGGGTGATGTAGGTGCTCTATTAGATTGAGTATTATGGTCTCAATTTGGGCTGTCACATCTATCTCTACAAATGATGCATAAATACAATAACAGGAAAAGCTTATCTGATTTGATCAAAACGGTTCAGTGTCACAGTGGTCTGCAATGTGCAATCAAAAGAAGAGGTCTATGATCTTTATGCTTACCACTAGGCCTGAAAAGATAAACACCTTGAGAGTTGAGAGGACCCTCCCAAATCTAAGTGAAACCTTTCAATTTTAATCTTTTAATCAGGAAGACAAAGGAATCTTGAGAGGGCCATTGGTGAAAGATCGATGAGAGACTTGTTATTATTAATTTTTTTTTGTTTTTTTTCTTTGTACCATATGACTGAAATCCATATGAGTGAGCCAAATTGCTTATTAGAATTTAGAAAGACAAAGGGAGAGAGCATCTCCCATTGAGTTATACATTACATGGTAATGAGCACTAGCACATGGTTTCATGTGCTGGCCCCCTCCCTACTTTCCTTTTACATTTTCACCTTTCTAGTGGCAGAGGATAGCCATTAGCCAGTACAATTACAACGTTTCTCCAAATGGGCTTTCGCTAAAACCGGTCATTTAATATGAAAATCTTCCCTCACTCGAAGCCTCGTCTAAATATTACTCTCTCTCTCTCTCTCTCCATTCTCTCCTGTTTTGGAAAAAAATACAGATTCCGCTGGCGTTCTCTCTCCATGAAATCCTCCAAATTTTCATCTATAGCTCTGGAATCAAATTTTTGGATCCTCCAAAAATAGCTAGAAACGAGGTATTACTCTGTTTTCTCCAGCTTTTCTTCTAATACAAAAAGTTGTGGGGTTGGGGACTGGAGAGAGCACATATAGACCTCAGAATAGAAGCGAACAACAAATCAAAAGAAGCTGAGATGGTTAGAAGATCCGTTTCAATGCTGTCTCTATCCAATCTGAGAAATGGGTTGCTCTGAATTCTGGATTTGGCTGTGAATCGTGGAAAGAATCCGTAGAAGATGCGGCGAAGGGCGACCGACTACCGGCGCCCAGTCCGAAGGAGGTTTTCTTATTGGATCTGGGGACTCCTTGTCTTGTTCTTAGTTGCAGGTTTGGTGCTATTCGTCGTACATCATCACCATGAATACCGGGCTGAACAGTCGATACAGGTAAGTTTAGAAGATAACCGGTTGGAATTCTGTATGCCCTATTTACGGTTGTGTTATTATAAAGTTGTGAAATTAAAGGTTTTTCTTTCTAATTTGATACAAAATATATATATATTTCAAATCAAAACCATTTGTAGTTGGTAGACGGTAGCTAAAATTTCTTGAAATGCAATCTGATTTAAGTTGATGTTGCCCCTCTTGTAATTTGATTAGATGTTTTATGATTTAGAAGTAGGAATTCTCTAAAATGATCGTTTATATATTTGGTCACGGGATACGGGACCCGTGAGCTGAGATGTCTGGAAGGTCAATGCTTAAATTGTCCTCTCCATGATCCTTATTGTAGATGCTGACTTCTTTCTTATTGGATCCATGGTCAATATAATACACTTCTAATACGTTCCTTAAGTTTGACGCTTAGAAATGGTTGGTGATTTCTGATGGTTAGTTATACAGTTAGTTGTAGTTCATTTAAACCTGCAGATAATCTAATAGTTAATACTGCATTCATCTTGAGATGGTGAGAGGGTGAGCCACTAAAGAGAAGGTTGTTTCTTTAGTTGCTGAGAGGGTGAAGCAAAGAGAAGGTTGCTGAGAGGGTGAGAGGGGGAGAGGGGGAGGAGCTGAGATGGGAGAGGAACTGTGTTTTCATCTGGTGC